ACGTGGATATGTCATATTGTATATATATATATATGTGTGTGTATGTATTATGTATGCGTATAATAAACTATAGAGCAGTATTCGAAATGTCAACTCGTGAATTCTTCTTCGAATTCGTTTGAAAATTTCACGAATGACTTGAAGTTAGGTAGTAGATAGGTAGGTGGATAGGTAGATATGTATGTATGTGTAAGTAGGAGAAAGTATATCATATAGATAGATATAATATATAAAAAGTTTCTTAAAAGCGAAGCTTTCTGAAAGGATTCAATGGGCAGAGAAATGATGCGTCGGTGTATAATAAAAGGGAACGTTGAATTCGTGTCTTTCCTTTGCAGCTTTTCTGATAAAGCTCGGGGCACACAGAGTTATGGTGCGTGTCCATATTTTCTCTCTCTTTTTTCTTCTTTATTTTTGAAATATATACATGTATATATATTTTCTTTGTAAACCGGATACCTTTTTTCCTCCTAGATTCAACTAGATGCAACATAGAAACGCATATTTTTATGTTTCCTTTAGAACGTTCACGACAACGGGATGAAAATGAGGCGCCATTCCACACGAAACGTCACGAAAGATATTCTTGGTCGGTGCCACGAAAGATATCCGCTTGACAATTTTAAGCAGAGAAATGTATTTTTGTGTAATTCTATTAAATTTGTTGGACATGAGAGAAAGTTGAACGATGGAACCAAAAAAAAAGAGAAAGAGAGAGAGAGAGAAAGAAAGGTAGAAGGTATTATACGATAAGTAAGTAAGTATGTCTACTCGTCTTTTTCGTAAAAAACACTTGTACTAAAATCCATCCACTTAGCTTCATTTTAAGTGCTTGTTCCGGCTTAACCAAATTTCTAGAATTGGATTGTTAGTGATCTCTGCATTTAAAAGATTATATAACGTCATTAGAATTACAAATGTTTTAATCTCTTATGTGTAACAAATATGTTATCTATAAGCATATAACATTATTAACGTTTAATAAATTTTCACACATTTATATTAATCGTATATATATATAATATTTATCGTCATACTTTTGACGATTATCCGAAATAAATATTAGAAAGTTACATAATTCAAATTACAAATGTCTTATTAAGAATATTTAACAAAAATTATTAGCATAAATTGTAACTTACTATTTGTCGTAAATTTACAGTAATGCTATCGGCGATTATCCAAAGACACGATATTATAAAGTTACATAAACAGAATAACAAACGTCATATATTTGTATATTTAACAAAAATATTATATTTATACTATATATATAATACTTATTATTCGTATAATAAATTCTAACTTACAATTAATCGTATATATCTATCGTGATGTTTTCGACGGTTATGCAAACACAATTAAAAAGTTACGTCGTACGTAAAATTGTTCTATCTCTCTCTCTCTCTCTCTCTTCTCATCCTTCCTCTTTCTCTCTCTTTCACTTATATATATTCTACATTTTGTTCACGTTGATATGCATATAAATTACATTGGAATCGTTTAGCGAAGATCGAAAGGAAAAAGGAAAAAAGGTGAAAAAGAATGAAAGAAAGAAAAGGAACCTCGTAAAAATACAGTTTCCCCCGCCTCATCTCACCCTTTTTATTTCCATCCTTTTCCATATGAAGGAATTATCATTGCATTATATCCTCAATTCGATCTCAACTTATTTTTCCTCCGCATTTCGTTAACACACGAGCCCAATAATGTCCTCTATCTTCCTTTTCCTTTTCCTCTTCCTTTCCTTTCACTTTAACCCCTTTCTATTTCTTTCTTTCTTTCACCCTTCTAATCACTGAGAAGGGACCTTTGACCGTTCCTTCGCATTCGTCCTCGAGACGATTAAAAAAAAAAGAAAAATACAAAAAAAAAGAAAATAAAAAGATGAAGAAGAGAATAAGAATAAAAATATCCTGCGAAAAGCACAAAGACAAAATGATCAAAGTAAGTACTGTGTGCAAGAGAATCTATAAATGTAGGATGGTAAACCAAGTAGGGGTACTTTGTACGCGGCGATCTAATTACTGTGCTTTCAGTCATTTCGACGTTAATGGCGGAGAAGTATAGTAGAACGCGTTTGCATTTAAACATTGCCAGACGTTGACGAATCAAAAGGGAAAAGAGAACATAAAATACTTTTCAGTATTATTTCTATGTACGTACGGGGTGGGTCATTTCAATCTGACACGGTGATAAATTTTCCTTTTCTTTTATTTTTGTTCCTATGAAGAAAATTTCACGAGACATTTTAATATTTTCTTTTTTTTTTTTCAAACAAGTTACATGTAGTAATGAAATGCATAATCTTTTTATCTCTGTACAATTTCCTGTAAAATGTATTACCTCTGGCACGTGGAAAACGTATTTATTTAGTAGATGTTTTTATAAAAATATTCCTATCAAAATATCCTTTCACCGTGTTTCTATCTGTTCATTACGACTTCTATTAGATTTTTATAGATTAAATGTGTACATGGCTTTTCACGATATTTTAATTATTTTAATAAGTATTAACATTTATAAAAAGGTAATACTTTTTTGCATATAGAATTAAGAGCTGGTTCTTTTATTTATGTAATACAAAATATATATTCGAAACAATGATCTTAAGTTAAGAATTATCTTATCATTATACGCATTTCATTTAAATAGTAAAACTTAGTTTTACGAATTTTCAATTAAATTACGAATAAGGCAGAATGTTAAAGTGTTTCGATTCAAATTTTTCACCCCGTATGTATATACGTATATACACCATATATACATCATATATACTTATATACGATATATACCTTTTCTATCCTGTCGTCAGTTATGTTTTTCTTGGTGAAACATCGAAGAGGAAACGATGAAAGCCGTTTTTTCCCTTCTGTATTTCCCTCTCTGCCTCTTCTTCATCTCCATTTTCTCCATATTTTTTTCATTGACAGAAAAAGAGATATGAAAGGGATCGAGGATCTTACGTGGAATCAACTTTTTTATGTTTTATGCAAGAACAGATTTTTTAATTAGGGAGTCAAAAGATATGTAAACATTTATCAAACCTTCAAATATCCCTTCAAATTTAACGCAGGTATTACGTATTCAATGATTTCATGATTTGTATTTAACAAATAAAATTCTTAACTCGGAAAAAAAAAAAAAGAGAAAAAAAAAAAAAAAAAAAAAAACTAACGATCCACACTTTATAACTTTAGGCTTATAAAAAAAAAGAAATAAAAATGGAAAAATTATGAAATAATATTAATTATACTATTCCCCAAATAAAAATAAATCGTTTGTTTTTTTATATCTAAAATAAAAATGTTCAAACTAAATATATACTCAGTTTTAGATTGATAGCTTTTTGCATAACTCGATGCAATTAACTCTATGAAGGAATTCTTTATAATATCAAACTCATTTCCTTCTTATCTACTTTAATTTTTGATGCTTGAGAGAATCTAGAGATAGATAGCTAATATGATGCAATTATCGGTCCGAAACTGACACGACAGTGTCGTAATCATCGAATCAATGAACGAATCTTTGTTTTTTTCTTTTTAATTTTTTATAATTTAAACAAATTTTTTGTCGCCCTTTATTTTTAATATAATTCTTTTTTTTTCTCTTTCTCTCTCTCTCTCTCCCTCTCTATCTCTATCTTTTGTACTTATTTCCATACGAATTACTTCCTCTTTCCCTCTCTCTCTCTCTCTCTCTCTCTCTCTCTCTCGAGGCTTGGAAATTTCGAAGGATATCGGAACGCGCTGATCACGTAAAAGCTGTCGCGTTTTCATGGAAAGCTTACGTATTCACGGATACGTTCTTGCAGCATCAGCTTATTTGACCGTCTCCTACTATGCTATATGTATGTAGCTAGTTCGACGGTTCCTTTCAATGCCGCGGTGTTATTAACTTTTCGTATGTATGCACTTATGTATGCACTATGTATATATACATATACAACGTCTAAAGTAATAACGATCGAGAATTACGGACGTTTCAAAAGAACAGGTTGTTCAATGTGCGTTTGAATAATTTTTTGAACAATTCATTTCAATTATTTGTCTATGTAAACGTTTTATAAGATAATGTTATACTTATTATAATTATTACGTATACATGGAAAACAACTTTTGCAAATGTGTGAAACAAAAACGACATTAATAATTACTAGATCTAATAAATATATAATTGATCGATTCAATCAACTCTCTTTGAATTCTACTTAAAGAACTTAATTGTTTATGTACATACATATACATATATACATAAAATGTATTTAATCGCGTAAAGTCTTAAGAAAAGTTGGAGAAACGTGGTTATATACTTGTGTTACATTGAAAAAACAGTGGATAAAATTAGAGAGAGAGAGAGAGAGAGAGAGGAAGAAAACTTTCGGAATAACCAATCAGATTTAACCTTTAACGGAATTCAAGACTATCGATATTAAACCGCGATCAAAACTAAATACTTTCTATATATATGTTTAATACGTATGTATATACTGACTTATAAATGTCGCTTTCCCCGAGACCGAGTTTATTTAATCCGAGAAAAGAATTTCGAGAAAAATTTGATCGATTCCCGAGTTCACGATAATGTTTCCAATTATTCCTGCTTATAACATTTCTTTTTTAAATAACACGAAATAAAAACATCCTAAATTTCTTTCATACTTTCGTGAAAAAAGAGAAAACCAAGAAAAATATAAGAAAGAAAAGGTTTTGTACATAGATACGTAAAAGTATTTGGAATAAACAGAAATGAAGCTCTTTGTCTCTCTCTTTCTCTCTCTCTCTCTCTCTCTCTCTCTCTCTGTGTATATACCTGTAATGTCATCCCTATCTTACAAACGACGCGTGGTCTTCTATCGTCATAGCAACGCACTGACAAGAAAGCTACTGTGAGTCACCTGATGTCCCGTGATGTGAGTGTGCGCGTTGCTTCCACCCCTTCCCTTTTATCAAGCAACTCCCACCCCTGAGGAAGCTAAAGCTCGTAACGTGCTCGACAGGTCGGTGTCAGTCAGTGCACGCGCGGACGACGAAGTGTATCTCTATACAGTTCTTAATCTTTATCGATCTTTCCTTTCGAACTCTTCTTTCTATCTATTCTATTCTATTTATTTATTTATATTTTATATTTTTATCTCTTTATCTAGATTTATTTGCGTTCATATTATGTTAGTGATCTTTGGTGTTTTTTCGACAAAATTTTCTAATCGATGATCGAAAATTCATCGTCATCGTCATTGTCATTTTTAACAATCAATTGGACAACCAAGCCGAGAACTTTCATTCAAGGATAAAAAGAAGAATGAGACGATTACGTTATTGTTAAATATTCCACCAGGTATGATGCATTTTTGTTAATATGTTACTGTTAATTTTTTAATGTTTACGCCTATCATGCCTATTGTCATGCATAGATTTGAAACGTAACAACATCGTCATTTCATTTTCTCCGAGGAATTTTTGTTTTTACTTCATTTAACGTTTTATTTGCATCCTGTGGATGTGGTTTCAAGGTGATACCACAGGAAAGAGATATAGATATTTTTCTACTGGCCTTAATCGTATACCGTTTCACGGTCATAAGAGATAGCGAATCGATTATTAAAATGATGTACAATATATTTAAGTTGATAAATATTATCAACGAAGATAAGAAGTTACATAGAAATATTCATTGCATTTAAAAAGTATTATTAGTTTGACATTAAAGTATTATTTCGAATACATCGATTTATCGAATTGTAACGCGTTACCACGTAGATAAAGTTTTATCAAAGTTTCTGCATTTTTATAATTTATCCTCGTTCGTAATATAAATTATTGACATCATTATGGATTAACGTTACATTTTTCAAGGTTATCTTACAAGGTTAGGAAGTATGTTATAACATATAATGTAAACTCGTTTGAATAATTATTTATTATCGATCGATAAAATATTAATAATTATCGTTAATTAAAATATTAAATAATTTCTAGTGATTAATATTATTTGAAATGAAGTTAAAAATTGAAGTAATTTGATACGATTCGCTTTCTCTACGAATAGAAAATTAATCGTTTTTACAAATTTCGATTATAAACCATTAAGAGCATTCACTTAACTGTTTTTCCTATCGAATAAACTAATCAATTGGTATCGAGTTGTTGTTAGCCAAACACATAACTATCGCGGTCCACGTAATTGCTGTTACTCAGCTCTCATTTTCTATCCAGTTTCCGGCTATTTCAACATTCGATGCGTAACCAATTATGCTGTTGGAATAGATCGATAGCTCGTATCTATGTAGCAGGTGTAGAGATAGAAAACATAGAGTGATAAAGAGTGGAATAGAGAGGAGAGGATAGGAGAGGAGAGGATAGGAGAGGAGATGATGTGTTGTGGTTTTACGCGTGGTAACATAACATCACATCAAATTATTCGTCGTTTATCTTATGTAGCCAAGAAATACGCTGGAACGTGTTCGTTGAATTCAAGATGAGTATAGTGATAGGGTTGGGGGCTGGGTATGTGTAAGCAAAAAAGAAAAGAAAAGAAAAGAAAAGAAAACATTGTAGTTTTTATAGTAACCAGGTGCAACTAGCTTTTTCACGATCGATGTAAATATCGAAGGGAATATGATTATCGCAAAAACGTTAATATCATTTAGAAAACAAACAAACACCATACATACATGACGTGCATTATATGCAGATGATGAAAAAGAAAAAGAAGAAGAAGAAGCTAAGAAAGTGAAGGATAAAGAAGAAGAGCCATGTTAGAAACGGCTGAAAAGGTTTATCGATAATTCATTCTCTAGTTTACACTCGAACACTCGAACTGATTCGTAGAATTGATTCCGAGTTCCTCTATGATGAAGCAGTACTTCGAATTAGTTCCCCGGTGCTTTCGTATAATTTACGAGCGTTGAAATATCGTGCAACTCCATTTCGGCGAACGTAATCGTTTGCCGAAGGGTCTTTGCTATTTTATTTGAAATCCGTAGGGATGAATATTTGCGAGAGATTTTCCTAAAACGTTTTTGCACTTCTCCTCCTGTTCCTTTTTCTCTTCCTACTTCTACTCCTACTCTTATGGTACCGTTACGGGGAGAAGGGAATACGTAATACGTTTCTTGCGAGTACTACTTCCGGCCGGAATCGAATTTTCTCTCCTCTACTTGCTACTTTATCAACGTATATGTATATTCAATTATGTCGCACTCTTGTATATAATTTCTACACGGATTTCCCGAAAAGATACATGTATGTGAAATTTCTTGTAAAAATTATTGACATTTTTACCTCAGGAATATATTTCAATATATTTTTATCAAATTATCTATATATGTACACATCCAAATCTTTTATATACGTTAGATACGTTTCTCAAAATATTATGTTAAAAAGGAAACTGTGCAGAAAAAGATACGTTTTCTGTTATAAAAAGCGTTGATACGTTCGATGTTATCTAAAAACCATATGAGATAAGATAAAGAATTAGATTTTATTCGAAAAATTGCCTAAGAAAAATAATCAAAACTCTTAATATCGAATATTTATTTATAAATCGGTCAAAATATTGCGGATAACCAGTTTAATAGTAAAATCAAATTAGTAACAAATATATATGACATAAAAGATAGAATTAAACATTTTTAATTAATATTATTATAAAT